ATATATATATATATATATATATATATATATCTAACAATCAGTAACTGATAAAAGGGCAAGTAGTAAAATCGTGTTTGAAAGTCGAAGAACAGTGGCAAATGTCAGAGCTATTGGGAAACATCGAAGAGCCGGTGAGTGTAATTAATGAAAGATATGTATAATAGAAGTAACGAATTGAATTAAATGAGAGAGAGCGTGAGAAGAGCGTAACGAGCCAACGTACATCATCGCAATAACTTAATTTACGGAAAGTATAAAAGAACACAGAATGCTCCTAAAAATATTAGTATGCGAAACACTTTGAAATTTCATTAATACTGTAACACGAGATATATTTATCGTGATTATGTTAGTAAAACTGGATAATTAAACATTCAAATACTTTCGCGAATTATGCGACGGAACGAAAATTAATATAGTTTTTATCGTAAAAATGACTGAAATTCTAGTTTCATCTATTCGGTTTACGAATAGTCATATCGTTTGTTTCTTATTTTCGTTCGATATCGCATGTATGACCATATCAATTCGATATCGTGACTACGTTGTTCCCATTTTAAAATCCTTGAAATTAAAGTCCGCGATAGTAGAACGCCATTAGCTGACAGGTTCGTGTAAAATTGAGACTTAAGAGGTATAACTGTTCTCTAACAATGAAATGTCAATTGTGTATTTCAGGACGACAGAACCTGCCGTTCCGATGATTCTAACGGTGAAATCTTTAAGAATGTCCCGAGGAACAGTAGTACGTTTCGCATTTGGAAAATCGAGGTACCGTAACAAAATAAAAATGCAACGTAATTTATGCTTTCCGCTACATTACAAGACATACACGTATAATTACACGTGTCGCATAGTTTTAATTTAATAACAGCGCTGTTTTTCAAACGATTCAGAAATATAAAACGTGAAAGTGTGAAATTATAAATTTTCACTTTAAATGTCCAGGGTTTACGAGTTACAGCCGTTACAGGAAGTAATATGGGATATTTCTTTTCGGAGTTGGCGTACATCATCTACGCAGTGTCGTCGAAAGACGGCCCCTTACCTTACCCTGGAATGCCCGTAATTTTTTTTCTCTTTTACCTTTGTTATCTTTAAAATGTATAAATATTTGCGGTTTCATCTAACAATATATATTTTCAAAGAGTATTTTGGTCAAGGTAATCAATACCATAGTTAATTAAGTTACCGACTGACTTACACCACCATGTATCAATTTATCACTGAATTATATTTCCATCATTTAAACAGGTCAAGGAGATAAAATCGAACGCGATAATTCGTGTAATTCACTTCTGGATTGGATCTGCGTGCGATTCAACGATATCTGGGGCAGCAGCCCTTCGAGCGGCTGAATTGGATTCGCAAGTATCTGCCACGATTTTATCAAGAGAAGCGCAAGGACGAGAAAGTCCTAGATTTCTCGCCTATTTTCGCCAACACCTTATTATCGAGAATTTTCATTTCGAAACACCGTCGTGTAAATTGCACAGAGTAACCGGCTTAGTGATCCCTATTCTGACGGAACTTGAAAAAGTTCATTGGGATTGTTTCAGTTCGCGGGACGTTATTCTTGTAGACGTTCTGTCACAGTACGTAAGAAATTGAAACCGTTTTATTATTAGACCATTCGAAACAGTAAAATTTCACTTCGTTACAATTAAATGGACATATTTTAAATAATTTTATTTAAAATAAAATTATTCACAAAAATATGAATCTGCATAAAAAGTATCGAATAGACGTTGTTCTTATTATAGTATAACAATAATATCATGTTAAACAGGGGTATCGTATTCCTTTGGTTGGGATCGTCAGCAGATCCCTTGCACAAACGGCACGCAGTCAATATCTTAGAAATGAGAAAAGAGAATAATAATGTTCGTGTCGTCATCGTGGACGATGGTTACGAGCAGACATTGCCGGAAGGAGATAGACAACTATTCACCAATATTTTAGATTCTTCGACAAGAGTGGTTAAGCCCGATCGGCTTTACCGAGTCAACATGCCAAATCCAGTCAAATTATATAGATGTAGTGAACAATCTGGTAAATACAAGGTGGCAGAACTGAAATCTGGACCAATTCTTCGAACGGATCTTACGTCCGAAGCTGTTTACTTGATTGATCGTGGTGAGGCTGGTGTTTGGGCCTGGGTTGGGCGTAATGTGAACGCTCGTGAAAAATTAGAAGCAATTCGTAACGCGCGAGGATTCGTAAAAAAGAAAAATTACAGCAATGGCGTATTAGTAGAAAGGGCATTGGAGGCTTGTGAACCGATAGAGATGAAAGCTCTCGTTAGAAAATGGGAACCGACAAAGACAAGGCCACTTACTCTACCACCGAATTTTGATTCCGATTACATGAATGAAAGACCTAAAATAGCAACCGTGTGTCAATTAGTTGACGATGGATCCGGTCAAAGAACTCTTTGGAGGGTAACCCACAAAGAAGGAATGATCCAAGTGGATGACAAAGGGATATACTACGCGGAAACTTGTTATGTAATGTGTTACAAATACGGGCAAGGACGTAGGAGTAAAACAATCGTACGTTGAAAGTGTAATTTTGAAAGTTGAAAGATAGTAATTAAATTACTAGTAATTGTTATAACTGTTGTTAAATTTGAAATGACGTAATATTATAGATTTATTGTTGGGAAGGAGTTCATTCTATAAACACGGATCGAGAAGCCGCTTTAGAAGCAGCTTGTCGTTTGTCAGACAATTCCTCTGGTCAATTAGTAAAAGCATCTCAAGGTAGAGAACCACCACATTTGTTGCAAATTTACGATGGAAAATTGAAAATATTAACTGGAAAGCACCGTGATTCT